AATTTGTTTTACATTCAACATTTTGTATACATTTGGTTTCACTCCCCAATTATCACTCCCAACACTAGCATAGTGTCTAAGGTACTTGACTGCTAACCAGAAGGCTGGTGGTTCAAATCCACCAGCCACTCCTCAGAAGGAAGACTGGGAAATCTACTTCCATAGTGATACTGCCTCGGCAACCCAAGGAGGGGTCGCTATGAGTCGGGGCTGACTCGAAGGCCCATAACAACAACAACATCCTAAACCACTCTCCCCTACTCCCTTCCCAGGAACCACCCCCTCCAATGCCCTTCATAGTTATGCACTCCGGTCCTGTATTTCCTCCATGTAAATGTTGCCCCTCTGGTGCTCCGCGGTCAACAGTTCCAAGGGATGTATCTACATAGAATATGTGGGTGTGTCACCCTGGGTTTAGTGGTCCGTGTGTACATCTTGTTTACTATTGAGCTGAGAGCCAGGACTTGAGAGTGAGTTTGATTCCAGGCCTGAAGTGTATCCCAGGGCCATAGCATTGTGGTCCCACCAGACTCCATCCGACCAGTAATTCTGGTCATTATTATGGTTTTGGATTTTATTCCACATTTTGCCTCCGACTCTATCCAGGATCCCCAGTTTTGATCCCTTCCCCAGTGGTTGCCACTGGTAGCTGGGCACCATCTAGATCTTCTGGTATCGAGGTCCATCATGTCCAAGGGCTGACTGTTCCCAAGTGCCCTTGCTTTTTCGTACTCTACTTCACTTCCAATGATAGCAGCCCATCTTAGATGGCTGCTCAAAAGCTTTTAAGACTCCAGTCGCTACTCCCAATGTAGGTTGTGAAACAAGATTGTTATGTATTTCGTCATGCCCAGAATTTTGAAAGTCAGCACAGTAGAAGTGATCCATAATCGTGCCCATTCCACACACAGTTTTCTAAAATAATGCAGAAATTGTCAAACTATATAATTCATATCACATGGAAGAAAATTTGGCTGAAGAGAATTCAAAAACAGCTGCAGCACTACTGCAACAGGGAACTGTCAAAAATTGCAGCTGGATTCAGAAGAGGATGTGGAACTAGGAATATCATTGCTGATATAAGATGGATCTTGGCTGAAAGCAAAGAATAGCAGACTGGTGTTTACCTGTGTTTTACTGAGTATGCAAAGGCATTTGACTTTGTGGAAACTTTTGAGCAATATTGCAAAGAATGGGAATGTCAGAACACTCAATGGTGCTTATTTGGAACTAGTACACAGAGCCAGAAGTTGTTGGAATTCCACAAAGGGATATACGTGGTTTGAAATCAAGAAAACTGTGTGTCAGAAATAAATCCTTTCATCATACTCAATCAATCAGTATGCAGAGCAAATTATCCAAGAAGCCAGACTACATAAATAAGAATGTGGCATCAGGATTGGAGGAACACTCATTAACAACCTGTGATATACACATGACACAGTCTTGCTTCCTCAAAGTGAAGAAGATTGAAGCACTCACAGAT